TTTTCACATATTTTCAGCATTCTTTAGTAAAAATTGAGATACTACTGTAACATTTCCCCCTAAAGGGCATGCACACAACATCCAGTTGGCTGTCGTTTCCATGTGACTCAACAGGGCCTGCTTCAGTGAGCGCTGGCCTCGGGTCACATTATGACACCTGCTCCCTGGTTTGATACACAAGTGCAGAGTGTACTCACTTATCAGGCACAAGAAACCAACATGTACACTTTTGTTCCCCACCACCCCCACAGGCTCTCATCTCTATCCAGAATAATAGAGTGAGTTGAGGGTTTTTTTTGTTTTGTTTTTTTTAATGTCTCCTTGTTATCTTCCTCTGGGCACTTCATGTGTTAACTGCAGTAAAGTAATCTTCAAACAGTCAGTGCAAATTCACTGGGAAGAAAAACAACAATTTTAATTTACTAGGCAAGGTATTGTTAAAAAAGTTTTTTTTTAATTTTGTGTAATTACAAAATGTACTTTCCTCCTCTGTGTTTGCCTACAACTGGGTGCTGACCCAGTTGAAGCTCTCGGGTTTACGTAACACTTGTGTTTACCATACAGGAACAAAAGGGCTGTCTTTAGTGTACACAGAACATGATCTCAAAATCAAATCTTAGTTCATATTAATTTACATATACTTCCATATTTAAGGATTTGAGTTGCTTGTATTATCATGACCCACCACCAGGTGGCCCAGTAGACATAATTTAAGGAGTAAAACGTGTACAAAGACCTGGAGCTCCAGTTATATACATTGTATGGTCACCAGTACTTTAGAAAATATATAGTTTTGAAAACAAAAAGTCATAGAAAAGAAAAGGCAGTGGGGCAAAATACTGACAAAATAACACAGTGACGTAACAACAAGTGTGCGTGATGGGGTGCTGTCTGGCTGTTTGATCTTTTGTTTGGTCCAGAAGCTGACGCTCCAATGGCACGAATCAGTTTTACCACGGATGACACGAGATGGAACAGCCATAGCGGGAAGGAACTGGAAAAACATCTGTGTGCATTGAAAAACAGGGTTGCGTCCTCATTCAGAGCCTCTGAAGCAGTATACCATGCCTGGTTTGCTCTGAGCCAAGCCCAGACCCAGCAGGAGGGTGCCTGAGTAGTGGGTCCCCAGCATTTTTTAGATCAGAGGGGGATAGGGAGAAACAAGGCACTTTTTTTAATATGCTAATTAATAGTGCCACTGCAGATGTACAGTCAATATTACAACACTCACCACACCTGAGCCTTTAATTTCTAACTGCTTATGCATATTTTATGATGGCCTTGCATGAAATATTGATTCAGAAACACTGGATTTTTTTTTCTGCCAGGCATACATTATTGTAAAATAAATAAGAAATAAGCAGTTTTATTAAATAATTTAAAGTTGCACACCCTGTGATTACAAAGTTAATATATTTATATTTGTAAATTTTAAGGATTAAATTTAAATGTGTCAGTGTTCGTCAGTATCTACCGGGTGGCTAAGCAACAATTGCTAATACAAGCTTTCAGGAGTATTTCACATACACACTGAACTGGAGTTATATCATAGACTGTACCTAAAAGCTGGACGCAGTGTGTACACTAAAGCCAGATGATATCAAACCTCTTCTGGCATTAGTATCAGCACAAAAACGGTGTATCTGGAGGCTTCATGGCAATGCTTTCCATGGCACTATTCACATGGTATGTGCCAATATTCTGTGAATAGGCAACAGATCTTAAAAGATGTAATCCACCTCTTACCTGTAGGAGCTGACAACCGTGTAATGGAATCATTTTGGGTGTGAAAAATGAGCCCTGTTCTATTATTTAATGAGTCCTCGATGCGTTACGCTGCTGTTACCGTTTCTGTCTCAACACACTTGATCAGCCTCTGCTTCAGGTGAGCTGATTCCAACACCTGCCTTGTTTTTATTAACTAAAACAAAAACGTATGAGGGCTGCAAGGTCACCTCAAGGTGTTTGCTGCCTGCTTACTGTGATGGACAGATAGAAACCAAAACCTTCATTAAATCTTTAGGATGTCTGGCCTGGTGGTGGTGTGTGTATGTGTTTGTATGTATGTGTGGTCAAGTAACAACACAAGTAAGAGGTGCATTAGATAATCTGGATCTTTGGTCTGTTGGGAAGAGCCGTGAAGACACACACACTCACACAATCAGCCATAGCATCTGTATGTTAATAAAACGTAAGTGTCGCAGCTTCTGAGGATAACAGCCTGTCCAAGAGGGATCACCTTTGGTTTCCAGAATTTGCTTGACTTAACCACGAACTCACCTGTTGAGCAGCTCACAGTCGCCATAGTGACAGGACTGGATACCTGAGTTGGGTGCTTGGCGGGCATCCAAGGCAAAGGAGAGTCAGCCAGCTGAGGAGGTCGGGATCTGTAAGTGCTGCAGAGGACGGAGAGAGTCAGACACGTCCTATTTTTCATCATGCCGAGAAAAAGTGATGCAGCTAAAATGGAAGAAGGTAAGTTAATGGCTGGAGGACTGGAGGATTCATTTAGTTTCATTGGTAATTGAAGAAAGTGCAGACAGGTTTACCTATTCAAGGACGATTCAAGCCTTTTTACTTTTGGTCTAGGGCCTAACATCATGTTGGCTTCCTTCTTTAATGTTCAAATTAATCCACTAACTTGTGGCCTCATCCTGATCCTGATGTAATTTGGCTGCTTGCTCTTTTTGGATCAATGCAACACTCACAGTGTAAGAGTTAATTGTGTAATTGTAGCTAAAAACCTGCACGACTTTAAACGCTCTCAAAGCTGGCGAAGGATGTTTTATAGCTCAGGATGTTCTCTCTTGTTGCTCTTGTCCTGATGCACACAGGGCAAAAAAAAATATGGCTGTATCTTTTTGTGGGACAATATGAAACTAGTATGTTACTAATTATGAAATTATATTTCTATCTTTAAAACCCACCCCACTAATTTTACAGGTTAGGGTTGTGTTCCTTCCTTAAGTTCAACTTCACATTTACTTTCACCACTTCTGCAACCCAAGGGAAGGAATTAGTCTTGATCTGCTCACCCAAGACACATCCAACAGTGCACAACATGATACAAAATACAAGTGCCTGTAACAGATCAGTGCAGTGTAACAATACCTGTCTCTAAAGTGCTCTATAGTGCAGTGAGGTGCTGTCCAGACTAATGAATGGGGCAAGAGGCTCAGTTAATATTGCAAATACATGATGTGTGTGTGTGTGTGTGTGTGTGTGTGTGTGTGTGTGTGTGTGTAAGTTTTCCCTGCATAATATATTCAGAATCTTTCTTGTCTACATGCTCTCAGCTATCTCATGTCTTGCAGTAGTTTTACTTCCTCTTTGTGATTGTCTGCTGTGCCCTGACTGTCTTCACCTGTCCTCCTCCCTGCTGTGTCTCTTCATCTAAAGAGTTCCCAGTGTTTCTATAGTCAGTTTATTTCTTGCCCGTTTCACGTTGTGTACTTGCACGAGAGTTAGTTTCCCGAGCCAGTGTTGCACAACACTTCTTGTATTTTCAAGTTTTTTGCATCTTGCATGTGTTTTTTTGTGGGTTTTTTTGTTTTGTTTTGAGAAAAAGATGCTGCGGTTTACTGAAAAAATCTGCAAACACATATGGAAATGCAGTAAATAAAGAAAGAGAACAACATCAAACTATCTTCTGCTTGAAGTATCAGTTTTAGTTACTGTCCTGAAATTTATATACAGTGTAGTCATCAGTAACTTTAGTGTGTTGGCGTATCTTTCTGCTCGCTCTAAAATAATAGTAATTTTTTTTTTTACATCAATCTGTTTTCTTGGCATTTAACATTATACTAAAAGCAGACTGTATGCTCCAGGAGAATAAACCTCATCAGTTCTCTCTGAGCTTCGTTCCACAGCTCAAAGACTTGTTTGTGAAGTATGTCTGTAATTATAGAGGTGTACACGTGGGAGTGTGTGGTTGGCAGTCTCTCTGTGTTGGCCAGTATTAGTGATCTGTTGAGGGTGTACTCTGCCTCTTAACCAAAGTCAGCTGGTATAAGTTCCAGTGACCTTGCACTGGTTATTTAAAAAAAAATCACCCAAAAACATTCAACAGATTCATGAAATAAAAGCCAGAAAATTCAATTTTAAAAAAAGTATTGATTGAATTAACTGAACCTCTGACAAATAAAAAAACATTTAAATATTAATTTGTTTTTGTGTTTAATTGGGTAATCTATTGGGTAATTTATTTAGGTTTTTGGGAAAACAATTACACTCATAATGTGAACGTCTCAAAAACTCACAAAAACCTGTGTAGTAAATATGATACAGTTGGCATCACACGGGTTGAAAACCTTCTGCAACTTGAAATCTTGAGGAGTAATGACCCCCAGGTTAAGTTAATAAAGTTTTATGTACTTTTGTTTTTAATCACATGTGGCCTGGAGTCCTTTTTGTCTTGAGAACCACATAGGCAGTCTGAATGCATTTTAAACACATCATCTTATATCAAGAAGCCAGTCGATACTAAAATATCCTGCAGGCAAAGAGTCTGTAAATGATATCTGCTGTTCTGGGGCAGGCAGCTGATATGGTTTAAGCCGAGGTGATTACTTGATTCTGTTGTTTTCTTTTTGATTGTGTGTCTTTGTGTTCTTCCTCAGTTGGCATCGAGATAGACGGAGATTTAAGTGAAAGTGACGGTGAGTGAATAAAACTGCAGTTCACCGAACTTCTTTATAACAACGATGAAAAGTTGAGAGTCTAATTAAATGCTCAGAATATCAATCGTGCGGTTTACACAGATGGTGCCACTCAGAGGAGAGGGAACAGGAGGCAGGCGGGAGGAAGAGGAGGCGTAAAGGGACGAGGACGAGGCAAAAAACCGGCCAGTGATGATGATGATGATGATGAGGACGATGAGGAGGAAGACGAAGCTCCCAGGGGGCGTAGAGGAGCAAACAGGAAGAAGCTGGCCAAGAAACGTGGTGGCAATGATGATGAGGATGAAAGCGAGGATGAGCCTCCCAAGAGGAAGAGAGGAGGAGCAGCCAATAAGAAGAAAGGAGGCAAAGCCCAGGACAGTGATGAGGAGGACAGTGATGTGGGGAAAGGAAAGAAGGGAAAGAAGGGAGGAGGGAAGAAAGGAAAGAAGGAGGAAGAAGAAGAGGAGACCAAGGGTAAGAAGGGTGATGGCAAAGGGAAAGGGAAGGGCAAGGGCAAAGATGATGACAAGGACAAGAAGAAGAAAAAGAAAAAGGGTGACAGGTAGGTCAGAGGAAGTCATCGTACCCTCGTGATGAATCTTTAAGATTCTCTGAAGACTCCTCTGAATTCCCTAACAGTCGTTTATGCAGGATTTGACTCCGTCTGCCCTTTCCTCCCCAGTTCATCAGATTCCAACTCCAACTCGAGTGAGGAAGAGGAGTCCATGTCAGAGGGAGAGATGGCTCGGCTGATGGAGGAGGTGGAGGAGAAGAAGAAACTCATCGCCAACATCAGGAATAAGCCTTGGAGGATGCAGCGGAGGCTCAAACTCCTAAAGTAATCTCCTTCTTTCTCATGTTACTCATATTTTAACATGAAACTTATCTTGGACTAAAATATTTGTATTTTAAAAATGGTTTATTGCATTCTAATGAAAATGTTTTCCCATTTCTTCACAGGGAAGCTCAAGAATTTGTGGATAAGTTTGAAGGTGCTTTGGGGAAAGGGAAAGGCCGAAAGTGGTATGCCTACAAAGTGATGATGACAAAGGTTAGGCACAATATTTAGATTTTATCCTTGTGTTTGCTTGTGCTCTGCTTCTCTAATTTGCTGTCTTGTTTTGTTTTTTAAATCTAAGAAATGGATCAAGTTTCAGAGGGATTTTGAAAATTTCAGAACAGCGTGCATCCCATGGGAGAGGAAGATCAAGGAGGTGGAAAGTAAGTTTATTGTTTACAGCTCATCTGTGTTTAGCAGCAATGGAAAACTCCTTCTGGGCGGATGCAAAAACTAAAAATGTTCTCACTGTCCCCAGGTCACTTTGGGTCATCCGTTGCATCTTACTTTATTTTCCTGCGATGGATGTACGGCATGAACCTTGTGCTTTTTGGATTCACCTTTGGACTTGTGGTCATCCCTGAGGTGACATCATGTTGTCCTCTTACCCAGAAAAATATGTAAATGTAAACACTGTATCGTTGATGGTCAGATGTTGATGGTCCAGTTACAAGGCAACAAATATGGCTTTGTTTAATCCAATGGGATTGATTGACAGTTAATTTTGTAATTAAATGGTTGTGTACAGACACCAACCTAATGTAGTCTCCACCTACACAGACAGGAATTACCAAACACCCATTTTTCACTATATAAACAACACTTTGAAGCCATTTACCTTTACCTCCATATAAATTCTCGTTTACTTCAGTTGACAAACTTCACGTGAGACAAACATCTCCCTATGCATTATAAATCCAAGCTGCCGCTGTGGTTCGGTCAGCTCCTGGGTCAGTTAGTTCATTAAGATAAGAACTGGACTTCAGAGGTAGCAGTTGGGAGATGGAGTTGATCTCACAGGCCCCCCCCCCCCCTTTTTTTTCCCTCTCGAGTCTTTTTTTTAATCGATAAAAGGACAATATAAAAGCTTTCTTGCACATAAATTTACCATTGTTAGGAATGTCACACTGATCATCCACACATTTTGAAAGCATGTCCAGTTTTCAGGACAGTGAAGACAAAACCTTTCTGTTATTAAACTCTCATTTAAGAACATTTAAGAACTATTAATTGTTAAAACTGGGATTTGTCGCCATGTTGCCAGGAAGAACTTGCTGGGTGATATTTGAAATTTGCACAAATTCATTGTTTTATGTTGTCTCCAGGTCCTGATGGGTCTTCCCTATGGGTCTATTCCCAGGAAGACTGTACCCAGAGCAGAGCAGGATACTGCTCAAGACTACTCTGTCCTCATGGACTTCAATGTGAGTTTAGCACAAAATGAATTATTTTCTTTTTCTTTTTCTTTTTCTTTTTCTTTTTCTTTTTCTTTTTCTTTTTCTTTTTCTTTTTCTTTTTCTTTTTCTTTTTCTTTTTTTTGCCTGTCCCATTTGGTTCTTTAGCAGTCAGAATTGTTGTCTGAAGACCAACAAGGATACCCAATGGATTTACTTCACCAGATGGATCATCACGGCCTTGCTGTATTGGTCCATTTGATCGACCTTTGTTGTTATTCTTTTTTTTATTTTATTTTCAGTTGTTACAGACGGGACAGACATGAGTGAGGGATAGGAAAGGGGGAAAGAAAGATGAAGGAAAAGAAAAACAGAAGGGAAGAGGGACAGTGAGAAAGGGCACTTAAAAGAGAAAAAAAATCTCCTGAGTCACCTGTTGAGAGAAAAAGAAGAGAAAACAAGCAAAAAAAACAGAGCAACATACTAAACACAACACCATCACGTTATCTAGCTAAGTGTAAACAGCAGTAAATACGAAATGTTGAATGTCGTTGTGTAGCAAGCAGGACACGCAGCGCACAATGTGCTTGGAAATAGCAGCCAATAAAGGTGTAGTTTATGTCTATGAACAGTGAACACCGGTGTGCACACCTGTGTGGATCAGCGCGCTTGTATTCAAAAGGTTTCCCCATGTAATGGTCTGCTAGAGGATGTAGAGAGCCATAGCCCTGTCCCCCAGGGCATGAAGCAGGCATGGAGGAGATCCAGGCCCCAGACATCCAGAGGCCCCAGAGTGCGAGGGCCCAAGGAGGACCACCGGAGGGGCATCCGTGCCACCCTCCTGGGAAGAGCCCCAGATGAGGGGTCACCCAGTAGCCACGGAGCAGAAGCCAGAGGGGGCTGCAGTGGCGTGCCTGCCAGCTCTGCCAGCAGCCAGCTGTGCCAGAGTGAACCGGAGGCCCGAGGGCCACAACTTCAAGTGTTCTACTATAGAAACCTCTTTCTTAGAGTTTCTGTGGAAACATGAGCTCTGCAAAGAAAACCTGTTACATCTTAAAATGGCTAGTAGTTAATGTGATCAGGCCTTTTTCTTCTACTGGAAAGTACTGCAACAACAACAATGGGG